AATAAAAATCCCAGATTTCAGGAAGATGGAGTATTTGCGTTGCTGATAACGAAAAAAATCTTAATTTATAAATTTAAATGTTTCCTCTTTTTATAGTAGTTTAATATGAAAATAAATTTGTCACCTGTATATTTTGCAGGGCGAGGTTCTGTCGCGGACAGCCGCCGTTGCTCCGGAACTTGGGCACGAGGCCGGTGGCGGAGGTGAATATGGCGAGCACTGCGCTCACCGCTGAGTCGATCACTATCGGAAAGTGATAACTGCCGATCTCACTTGCAAGCTGGCAAAAAGAATTAAGAAATCAACATAAATAAAATAAAGACAGAACAGATAACAATTTTTGTACAATCAAGGAATCTGGCGGTGTTCCATCTTAAAAACAAGTTTGTAATTTGTGACAACAAGGAACAATAACCAATAGGACGCCAACTTTTAAATGTCCATACGAAAAGCGTTGATCATTAATAGACGGATAATTGTTTTTTTTAAGAGGCGGAGTTGCAAGAAGCGAGACAATTTTCTACAAGTGAAACACCGCGGGTTTCCGCGAGTGTACAAATGTTTCTTCAGCTCAGTGTTAAGCAAATGAAAACAATAATAGTAAATATTTCGATTATCGAAAAACATCAGATAAATTGGTTTATAATCAATTTTAAATTTAAACCATCAAAAATAGCAGTCAAAAATCTTATGTATTTACATAACGTTCGATCTATGAATTTACGGCATTTCATGCAAAATAATGTTATAATTTGGATTGAATTTTATTAGCATTGCTCGCGACTTCGTCCACATGATATTAAAAAATATTGCTCATGTTACTCACAAATAAATTACCCTTCTAACAATGAAAGGCTGTCCATTACTTATTTCAATACATACAAAAATACACATATTTCGTCTTTAATTTGAAATTAAGTTATACCTGTAAAGCACGTTGCTTAGTTTCCTGGCTGGAGTTCTCTGAGGCCATGTAGCAGGTCACCAGCAGGCGGTTACAGAGCTCCATGGGGTCTGAGGGCGTGTAGTCCGACTGGCAGAGGATCTTACGCACGTCGTATAATACTTGACTCTCTAAATAAAATAAAATACAAAATTACAATTGACCTGCAAATAAATTCACGATTCAACTCAATTTGTACACTCAGGGAAACTGGCGGTGTTCCTTAAAAGATACAATTGCTTAAACATTTTGAAAGACGCGGAACAAAAATCAATACAACGCTTGTGTCTGAAAATATCTCGGTAAGTGATACATGGCTAGTTTCTTTTAATTTCCCTCCGTTTGCACTACTCACTGTTATTTGTAGGAAGAGGCGGAATTTGTTTCGTTGGTATAAAAAGGCATTTTTGCCTAAAGTGGAACACCGCAGATTTCCGCGACTGTACATCCATAGAGATATGAGTTACTAGTCACGGGGCACCTTTATTTATTTATTTTTATAGGAATGCCAATAACCAATAGCATATAGTTTATCCCATACTTTTAGTTATTGAGCCGCAGCTCATCTCTTAAAGATTACTGATTCAGAGCTGATTCACACTTTACCTCCCTTTTGTACCGCGTCACATATCTGCGTGCACATTGAGAAGACGATGCAGGCGGTGCTGGTAGAGTCCACGCCCCCACTCAGCGGCAGGAAGAACCCGCCCTGGCCTGATCGCCGCAGGTAGTCCCATAGCCAACAGGCAGGACCTGTACACACGAAAAAAAAAACACATTTACAAATCGTTAAAAATGGCAGACACTGTTAGAGGGCGGGATTTAACGTTTACGCCCTTTTTCCACGCCCACTACTCGCTATAAGTACCGTCACTTTAAAGACTCTTTGTCTGTGAGATTTCTTACCTAATTCAATTTCTTCCTCCGGTGTCAAATATTTGCATTCTATGGGCTGGCTCACAGTCAAATGTATATCCTCGTCATCAGATAAAGCGAAGTCAACGTTTATTCTAGGAAATGGCGGATTAGAAGCTGCCAAATGAGATCTGGAACGGATCTGCGTGCGGTACGACCGGATGTCCTCTAAATCTATTGTTGCGGTTACTACTTCCTGAAAAAATAATGAGATATTTTGAATTATCAAGAAATTACTATATTTTCAATCTATGTCGGTAGTCATTTTAAATTTAGGAATAAATAGCAGATATAAACATAGCGTTAGATCTTTTTTTTTATTTCTCTTCGTACCATTATAAAAATAACTACGGTATTCCTAGAACATTGTACTATATTTTAGTACTTAGTACTACGATTTGCTAAATTCATAGCTCTATAAAACTTACAACATCGTGCAAAGCGAACTGAAGTCCCCGGCTGACCACTTCCCCGTTAACAGCGACACACGAGCAGCCGTTAAAATATATCCTTTGGCCGTCACATCCCCGCAAGTTGCTAAACAGATAAGCTCCGCCGCTTTTAAATGTGGCATTTTTCACTAAATCCACTGTGACGTAAGCCTTCCTTAGTTCCATATAGCTGCCTGAACCGTTAGATATTATTTCTACTCCGTCGAGACTTAAGGGAACATGCCGGCTGCAAAAAAAATGCAAATTTATGAACAGATAACTTCATACGCGTTCTATTCCTTAATAGTCCTACGTACAGCTCGATGACAGTTGCGCTATTATCTGATACTACTTAAGTTGCCCCAAATAGGTGAGCAAAACATACAGAGCCAGATTACTTTCCAAGTCTATGTAGTACAATACATACACTTACACGTTAGGAAATTATAATCAGTGAGTAACCTTTGAGGATTCCATAACTCTTCGCATATCTCGAAGCCGATACAGGTGTCCCTTGTGGCGATGACCGCGTCACCGATGGGTACTGTGGTCTGGTTCGTGATCGCGGTAATCATCCGCGGCAGATAATAATCTTCTACTTGTCTCTCCTTTAATAAACAGAATGAAGATATATTAGCCACTAGCTGTTCCCGTGCGACTTCATCCGCATAAAATTATGAAACTTTTATTTTATTGTTTATATGTGTCAAATTATCAATTGCAAATGTCAGAATGACATGACGATGACAAACCATGGCAACCTTGCTTCCTTGATGTTGGCAGCAACTTATAGTCTCTTTCCTACATCAGGGTTTTTATCCAAAATATTTACCCCGTAAGTTTAATGGCGTGAAAATATATAGCCTAAAGCATGACGTAAGTGTAAGGATTTTATTTATAAAAATATGCTATAATTGCTGACATCTTAGGCAACAAAGAAGTGTGTGTTTACGCTTTATTATAATAAGAATAGATATTATAGATTATCCGCCACTTCAACCGCGTGATAAAACAATATTTAAATCTTCACCTTTGTCCAACAAGAAAACCATCGAGTTTCCCTATAATTTCCGTCTTCACACAACATCATCTTAGGCCTGATTAGTAGAATCTTCTTATTGAGGAACGCGACTCGACAGTTATATGATACATTCCTGTGCTGTACAGGCATACCCACGTCTATAAGCATATCTTTGCATGTTGACGATTTCAATAGCTCTGCTAATACTTGCCAACTGTGCAAGTATGTATCTGGTTCATGGAAGTGATCTTCGCAGCTATAGCCACTGGAATCAATTTTATAAAATTTATATCCAACACTATGCATGCATAATGTTTTAGTGTTGTGTGAAAGATTAGGACCAATACCACAAAGGTTATAAGTTTAAAAAGAATGTATTATGCTTTATGCTTAAAAATCAGCTCATATTTTAGAACCATGAAAAATTATATTTAAGCAAAATATCCGATCTGAATCTTTTACCCTTTCTTTCCTTCATTACTTGAAATGTAGATACTCACCATATTTCCAATTCAGGACCGGTTCTATACAATGCCCCCATTTCTTTCGCCTCCTGCACTGATTGAAGTATCCTGCTCAGATTGCCTTCGAAATCCAGGGCCCATTGATTTAGAGTGCACACCGCTACCACCACTTTTCGCCCCATTTTTATCTATCCTGAAATAGAATATGTTCTGGAAGTTAATTTTTGAATATGTCGATTAATATCGGCATTTGTCTCCTATCTATTGATAAACAAATTAATATAGGTTTTATGCATTTTAACTAAACGCTACCATACTACGAGCCAGAGGAAAAGAAACCTTAATGTTAGAAGTCGCTGAACGCAAATAGCGTTTTAAAATCGTACATTGATTTCTGTAGTACTTATTTGTTTAGAGTTTAAAGTTCAAGTAACTATGCTTAACTTGTAAGAAACATGAGGATTGCGTAGTAGCGTTACTACAAAGTTCATTGATGGATAACACGCTAAGTGCACAAGTGGGAATCGATCCGAGGTACCCCGTACCAGGAGCAGGGCAATCACCCCGCGACGCTGACAAGACCACGAACCCTATGTAGCTCGAAAGACGAAACTGGTGTTTCGTGATGTGTTAGTGTTGGAGTTAATACCAAATTTTGGTTCATTATTGAATTATTACACTATGATAGTTACTGGGCATATTTTATTAATCAATTGGGACTATTTAGGTTTTATGTTTTTGTAAAATATTATTTTTAACATTAGCAACGTCTAAATACAAAAGTCTGGATTTAACTCTAAATAAAGATTTAATTTGCAAATTAAGTGCCCTCTAGAGATATCCATTAGGGTCTATTTGGATCTTTTATAACAGGGAATACCAAAAACAAAGTATTTTCAACATTATGAAGACATTATGCTACACAAATCATAATACAAGACATGTAAAACGATAAAGTTAAAATAAAATATATCAGAGACAACAAGCAGAGTATACAAAAGTCAAATTTATAGATAAATCAATGGTTTTTGTTTTTCTTAATAATATCTATGATAACATCTACTAAAATAATAAGAATCAATCACTATAGTCACGGTGAAAACAATTTGTGGGAACGTAGAATATCTCACCTGTAATCCTGACACGAAGATATTGGTGGAATCTATCGACTTAACCAGTCGCGTAGCCATGGCAACGCATATTCATACATCATAAAAGCAGAAAAATAAAGATCCTACTATAAAGTTTAATGTAGTAAATATACCAAAAAAATTAAAACTAATAACACTAATACATGTACAAAATAACAATTTTGATAACCTAAACACCACCAGTGATGTAAGTTACGATATGAAATAACGTAATCATTATTTACTTATGATATCTACGTAATTTACACGATATTTAGCTACACATATATCACTATATACCACCGTTCTATTGATACATTTAGCCTAGTTATCTCTATTAAGTTATTTTGAAACAGGTTCTCTACTTTTTTTCCGATCATCGATCAATCCTATGCGGGGTCAAATTTCGTTACCACATACTTATTTCCGAAAATTCTTATTACAAGCTTTATGGATAAGTTGAAGGGTTTGTCATTCCCTTCACCTTGTTATTCGACATACCAAGGTTAAAACAGAATCGAAAATACTACAAAAGTTTTCATAATAACTCAAAATTCTATACTAGTATTTGTACAATACTACGTAACAAGCAGGTGATAAATAATATATCACGTTTTCTAGCACATTTTGTTACAACATTTCTGCAATAGATTAAAAAACAGCAGTAAGCGATAAAGCAAATTTTCATGACAAAAATATCCTCGCATGTCTTCAGCGATCGTTTTACCGATACCGGGTTTAGTCATTTTGAATTTTTAATGGAAAAGCCTTACAGCGAGGTAACGTCATAACTTTTAAATTACAATTCTATACAATAGACTTTTTCCTATTCTACCCGTTATACATTTTTATCCATAACTGATATCTATAAATAAAGCCAATCACATGCAATGCAAATTTTAATTTTGTGTATCTTAAATAATAATAAAAAAACAATATGCAATAAATATTATTTGCAATAACATAATTCTTAATGTATTATTACTGCCAGAGAATGAAGCACGCTATTAAACGAAAAAGAAACACGCTTTTCATCGGCATATCAAAAAGTTCTTGGCTCTTTGATAATGTTAAAGTTTCCGACCGCGACAGGGGCCGCGGTGAACTTCCATTAGCTTCACAAGTTTCAGGCAATACGCGGAAGTGCAGTCACCTTTCAAGCGTTCACGGAACTGTTATTTCTGTTTACATTGAACACTCATTAGATGATTGCATCGAAAACTTGAATTAGTTTGGCAAGTCTTTACACGCTCGATAAATTAAAAGCTCATGAACATCTCATTATCAAAATGTAACAACAAAACATAAACGTATAAATATTGCAAAAAAATAAAAAATACTTAACTTTTAATGACAAGGTTTAAATTTAAATCGAAATACAAAGAAATCAATAGTACAAAACGGTATAAATAAATCACTATTTACGACGAAAGTAGTTTTGTGGTTTTCCAAAGAAATTTTAAATTACAAATTTCCTCGTACATAAATTAACGACAGGAAAAGCTCGTTGCACTTCAAAACGGCTGATCTCTGACGTCACCAATCAACCGATAAGAATTCGATCGAACATGACAACAGTGAGGCATCCGTCTCCTAATATCCATAACTTTAGGGAGTTGTACGACAACCCCAGTCGGCTGCCGAGCGCCGTACGACCCGCAAGCTCCCCACGCCTTGCCAAATTTTCGATCGTAATCAAACGCAACCATGGAGACAATGTTAAATGAAACAAAGAATAGCAATATGAACGTAGCATCAATGTAAATTAGTCTTAAAGTATTCTAAAATGTTATGGTGGAGACAATTGGAGTGTGCACAGGAATATGTTATGATGTTCGAAAGAGAAGAACAGAGGAAACAGTACAACGACAACACAACAATCACCCTAACTCTCCCAACTAGAGACCCAGTGTTGCAAGATAATCTACTAATCGCCAATCTAGACCAAGTTAAGACCCTGCAAGCATCTCTCTTTCCTATATGCAACAAAGGTAAAATGCAATAAAATACAAGTAGATTAATGTTAATGACACATTCTAGATTGAGAAATCTACAGAATTTCTAGTATATTTGAATTAACAAGCTACTTTTCGGAAATACGTGTTTCGGTTAGTTTGAAATAAGAGACTAACAACTTTTTTTGTCATGATCACACTAACGGTCGAACTTTAATATTAAAATTAAATTAATTTAATGCCCTTTATTGGTACATAGTACATAGGAGAAGTACTCATATTATCAAATGATGAAATATTAATTTCAGGCACATTCATATCTAGTTTTCTACATAACAATATTAAGACAAACCAGTTGGAAATAAATACTGACATAAAAACTTTTCGGACAACTGCTAAGCTAAAGGAGCCTCGGGAATTGTTCGCTCTACCTAAAGAGCTCGACTGTCCGCAGCAAGCAGCACGTTGGCCATCGGAATGTCAAGTGAGGATTATGTTTTAACCTCATATCTTTTAAGTCTACCCGACTGTAGCATACACATAGAATTAGGAATTGCAAAAAGTAATATACGTTTGAGAAAATATCACGCTTTTTTATAAAGCCATCTACTTCTAAACTTTAACATATATTTAAGCTAGAAATACAAAAAGTGACATTGCTGATGCTATAGCCAATGTCGCTGTAATAGCAAAGAATGTTTTTTTCTTACAGGTTGTAGAAGAAAGAATACAACATTTGACGTGGAGTCCTGCCAGCCCGGAACCGTACTACGTACCCACAGGGAAAGAATTGCGACCCCAGCCGGTTGGCGAAGACGCCGGCACTGTGATATTTCAGTATTATCCTATGAGTGCAGTTAATTACGTTGGTGTCTTAACGATTTTAAATTTGATACATAAAAAAACTAACAAAAACAAAGTAGATATGCTAACTGCTTCAACTTAGATTGGAAGGTGCATGCACATAAATTGTCACGAAAGGTTTTGAAATACATTAATCACGAAGGAGTTCTGTAAAGGTTCGTGATCACAATGACACTAATACACTATTTTTCAGTTTAGCCGATCCACAGTTGGCGGCTCAAGGTTGTTCCTATCCGCTTGCACAAGTGCGAGCTGTGACGACGAGCTGAGGTTCGAATCAAGATTCGAAAGCGGCAACCTGGCTAAAGCTATCCGAATCACATCCGCGTACTATGAACTGCATTTAAGAACGGACCTTTATACAAACAGGCACATGCAATGGTTTTACTTTCGAGTGACCAATACCAAGAAACAGACGATGTACAGGTTTGTTTAATCTTACTTCATATTTGTCTTGTGTTAAGGTCGTTATTTCATTTAGTTTCAAAACTATTTTACAGGTTCTCGATCGTAAATTTATCAAAAGCTGAGAGTTTATATAACGAAGGCATGCGACCTCTGTTGTATTCCACCAAGGATGCTCAGCTACATTCAATCGGTTGGAGAAGATGCGGCGACAACATTGCATATTACAAAAATGATTCCTCGTAAGTAAACCAGACAGAAGGTTCTTTATTACTAATGCAATCAAACCATACGTTACAATTTTACTTATTTTTTTTTACAGTTGTGAAGAAGAGGAACAATTCCCAAGCTATACGCTAACGTTTAATATAGAGTTTCCACACACAGACGACGCCGTTTACATTGCCCATTGCTACCCATATACGTACTCAGATTTACAGGAATACTTATCCAGGTTACAAGCACATCCCGTCAAATCGACTTATTCAAAACTAAGACTGCTTTGTAGAACGTTAGCCGGCAATAATGTCTATTACCTTACAATCACTGCTCCCCAGAATACTAACGAATTGGAACAAAAGGTAAGTTCTTAATTGACCTTACCAATACATAAGCGATCAGATATCTGTAATACATCGATTATCTTAACATCAAAAGACAATGCTAATCGCAGAAAAGCTATACTTTCACGGAACTAATTCAAGTACAATCATCAGTTACATGAATCAATTTGTTGTGAAATCTTTTATAGAAAAAGAAAGCCGTAATAATAACAGCAAGAGTGCATCCCGGAGAGACGCCAGCATCATGGATGATGAAAGGTTTCATGGACTATTTGACAGGTGATACGAATCAAGCACGCGAACTGCGGGAAAAATTCATTTTTAAATTAGTGCCAATGCTGAATCCGGATGGTGTGAGTGACGCTCTAAATATTTTACATTTTAATATAAGCATTATTCATAAAACAGATAATGTTACTATTATTAAAGGTAATTGTCGGCAACAATCGGTGTTCGTTGACCGGAAAAGACCTGAATAGGCAATACAGGACGGTGATAAGAGAAACGTATCCTCCAGTTTGGCATACCAAAGTCATGATACGGAGGTAAGAAATTATTAAGATATCAAAAGTTCTGACCCTTGCATTTCGTGTCATATCATTGTTGAAAATGAATTTAATTTTATTAGATTGCAGGAAGAATGTGGAGTGGCCATGTATGTAGACCTACACGCACATTCACGGAAACATAACGTATTTATTTATGGCTGTGAAAGCCGAAGAAATTCGGATAGATATTTACAGGAACAGGTTTTTCCTTTGATGCTACATAAAAACGCAGCTGATAAAGTAACTATTTTAGCCTACATATATTTGAATAGATGTTACAGTTTCCGAATTTAACACTTAATATTATTTTAGTTTTCCTTCGAAAATTGTAAATTTCGTATCCAACGCAGTAAAGAAGGTACTGGTCGAGTCGTAGTTTGGATGCTTGGAGTCTCAAACAGTTATACAATGGAAGCGTCATTCGGAGGAACAGAATTAGGAAGCAGAGTATCCACGCATTTTTCAGTCCAAGATTACGAAAGCCTTGGACGTACATTTTGTGAAACTCTATTAGATTTTTATGACGAAGATCCGAGTAAGGAGCGTTTGAGGAATAAAATCGTCACCAGATTATTAAAAGAAGGTTCAAATGCTGATGAACCAACGAACATCGATCTTTCGGATTACTCCAGGTTTGATTTTATTCCCAATATTGCTATGTAATATTGAAAGGATTTAATAAGCCCAAACTTTGCATGACAGTGACGAAGGAGATACTTCAAGCAGCAGTTCAGAAGCTGGTGGCAACAGAGATAGAATTGAAGCAAACCAAACAGCACCACCTCCCTCGCCTTTGTTTCCGAGAGAAATCAAGACTAAGTATAATGTAAGTAAAGTAAATGAGGTAACCTTCGGAAAATCAAATTTAAAACGTTAAAACCCAATTTACAGAAACCAATAAGACAACGAATCAGGTTAGAGAAATTGAACTTAGACAAGAGAAGAACGAAACGAGAAACAATGCAGGTATGGAAATTAAAATGTTGCTACATACCTGGGACTTCATCAGAACAAAGGCAAAAACTGATCGCTGTAAATTTCAGGTATCTAGAACTATCGTTGATCTTACATCAGACGCAATTACCGATTGCTCGTCAGATGAATCATTCGCAGAGAAATTAAGCCCAGTTCGGAGAGTCCATAAATTGCTTTCAACCGCAAAAGTAAACCCAAAGAGAAAAAAGAAAATGCCACCTGAACTAAAAATATTTCCTGTGCCGGTAAAACTCTTTCTAAAACAGTCTTATGTTAAATTCATAAAAATTTGTATAATGAGTGGCTGGTAAATCTTCTTTTAGACAAGTGATTCTCCATATAATTCTGATCGGGAGAAGAAATCATCGAAGTACAGTCGACCACGGAGTGTGTCTATGTTTAACGATTCTAATGGGAAACCTAGATTGAGTCCAGCATCTTGGCACCAATTCAGACACTTACCGCCACCTAAGTAAGTTACTGTACCTTCTTTTATTTTTTTCTGTTGATTGAGTTAAACTATTATTGTAATGTGGAATAAATCTATCACAGGTATTTATCAGAAATAAAGAACAAACACACACAACCATCAGAGCTACAGGTAAAATTGAATTCGCTAAAGAAGAATGTATGGACCGGTGTACAAAGTGAAGATAAGGGACCATTATCATGGGGAATCTCGAGTTTTGCCATGAACTCCTATTTCACTGATAGTGAATCTTTACTTAGGTGAGTTTTTACTAAAAACTCCAATTTACATGCAGTTTAACATATTATCAAGTAAAATTGTATTTAACCAGGTCCTGTTCAAAAAAATTAGAAGTACTTGAAAATGAATTCAATAAACCCAGAGATGAAAAGAAAAAGAAAAAATCTAAGCTAAAAAAGATTCCAACAAAAGTGCCAAAAAATGATGATATAACAGAAAGTAAGCCTGTAAAATGTAACAAGAAGAAAGGAAAGTTAGTATGAATAATTTTATAAAATGTGTTGTTTTTTTTTTGATTTTGAGTAGATAAAATATTTATCATTTTTTTTTTCCAGATTAAAACATGCAAAATCGGAATGTTTACGTCACATAAATAATACAAGTTTCACAGATATACCTAGAATCCCAAATCCAATGCAAAGCAAAAATATTAAAACATTTAGAAAAAGTGTTTTTGTTGCAAGTGTTGTTCAAAATAAGAAAACTAGCAAAGTCAATTCTCTACCAATTTCAGAGAATTCTGATTCTGACAATCTTATTGAGGCTAGAAAAAAAATTAAGAAAAAATCGAAGACCACAAAAAATAAATTACAAAAAGCAGCAACAGAAGTGAAATTTTAAAAATTAAAGTATTGATACCTTATTTATAAAACATAGCAATGTTGCAAGTAAAAAATTTAATAATAAGTTTACAAAAAATTGCCATGTTTATATTTTACATTATAATGGTGACAATAGGCATTTGAGTCTGCCCGCATACAGTTAATTTGGTGTTCATGATTAACAAATCTTTGGAAAAGCAAAAAAAGTGTTTAAAACATATGAGATATTATAATTAGAACCTAGATGAGGCATGTATTAAAACAATTGTACCACATTCTAACCTCATAACTAAATAGATTAGATCAAGAACCTATTAATCAAGACACTCAAAATGGTCTTTAAAATAATTCATACACAACTTTTATTAAAACTAGCCCATACCTATTATAAATATATCGTTATCTAGATGAAAAGTATTGTAATAGCATTTTATAATATAAATTTGAGTTTTATTTTTGGTTCCCAAAGGTAACTAGTGTTACGACTCTAATAATGATAAAAGGTAGAAATTTAGGTTAGTCGCAATAACAGCGTCAAAAAAATATGGAATTAAATCATAATTAAAAAATGTTACAAACTACAAAGGTATCATTTTTAGAAAAAAGACCTTTTTCTGTATTTTTCGTCAGACGGTTTTTATTACTTTATACTGAGAAACAATACTTACGATGTATATCAGGAAACAAGATCAGTTTAATCGCTAACAGCAGGTTTTTAATCAAATGAAAATAGTATAACTAATTGTAAACATTTCAAAATACAAAAAAGTTGATGACAGTGACATTGACACACACAAACGTTGTTTTTCATAAAACACACGAGGTGCGGGAAGGCAAAGATCACTCAGTAATTCACAAAATAATAAAACTTTTATTAAGAAAAATCTTTAATCAGTCATTTGCTCACGCTTAATTTTAACATACGTTAGTTAACCAGCTAGTTTGCGTTAAATTAGATGTTGTTGAACAAAATGATGATTTTACAGGTGTAGTTGTAGAAAAAGCTAGTACCCTAAGTTCACCTGTACTAGAAAACTGAAGGGCATTACTAACTCTTACTCCTGATGAAGTGTAACCAGGAGTTTGAGGTTCTCCAGTAATTGGATTAAAAGGCCCACATCGCGTTTTTGCAAGAATACACGACGTTACATTAGTATAAAATCGAACGTTATCGCTATCCAAAGTTATATTTACACCAGTCCTCGCTTCTCGGGTGCATTGTGTTACCTAGAAATTACAAATTTTTGAGTGTTAAAAAGGTTAACTGTTAACTATTTGACATTTTTTTATTTATTTTTACCAAGTTAATAGAATTAACTCTTCTTAAGCAGCGTACAAAATCGCAATAACCCATGTAACATCCCGATGGCTGAACATTAAGTGCAGATGTCGACAGTGCCTGTAAAATAATTCGTTAATTATTATGTTGCAGTGAAAGCGTTTTATTGAGAAGCGCAATATTGATAGGCGTCTAAAGCAAGAAATCTTTGTTTTGATTCTTTAACGATCAATTTGTGTTAACAGGGTTTACACTTAAGATAATTTTTACCATTAACGCCGTGGCACAGCTTGCATAAGAAGTGTTCGTAAAATATTGCACAGCACAGGCACTTAAAGCACTAAGCTCTTGAGGTCCCTGAAATAAACATTTGTGTGAATGGATTTTGAGCAAATTTCATTCAATTAGTACCAAATGTTAAAATTTAACAAACCTCGGGCATAGATGTAACTCTAGAAAAACATGTTATACATCCATCTCTCAGAGTAACATTAGTGGGTTGCGCTGTGCTACAAACTAAATTCAACAAATTCTGCAGCTGTGGTCTACAATAAAAATTTCGGAACACAAAATTACATATTTTTAGCTTTACCTATAAAACTTTCAACTGCCTATGTCACTTACCCATTAGATGGACATAATTGTGATAGTTTTTGTGTTTTCCATTGTAATAATTTATTTTTCACATCTCCAAAATCAAATATACCGTTACTCGTTACACCAATCTAAAATGAGATCTTCTTATAATATTTTATGAAAATGAGACTAGGGATTGTTAAAATAATGTGTATTATCTATTTAATTTAACAATCTCTAACCTCGGCAAAATTAAATGAATTTTGGTTCTTCCACTGCAAAATAGCTTTTTGTATTTGTTTAAGGTCAACAAAAGTACCGTCTATCTCGATCTGTTAAATTTATAGGAGTTAAAGTTGGAATTTTAAGCTTTTAAAACATTGATGACGGTTAAGAAAAACTCACGAGAAAAGTAAATATAAATCCATAATGAATTTTATTCATTGTTATTTCACTGTGAGTGCTGCTGTACAGGTTAATAATGTTACTTCAACAAGGTTCTGGGTGGAAATGACCGTATATGTGTTATATATTATCAAGTGTTTTAGCTCACACCTCTATTGTTATAGATCACCCGGGTATGTAATCGCCCCTTTTCAAAATCGTAATAGCGCAACGCTGTATTATAACGACATAAAAGCATTTTTTTTTAGTAAACCATTCGGTGAAAGTAAACTTGAACATCAAAATTTACATATCAACATTTAATTTTATTTATATCTATAGAAAACGAAAGACTGATGTTGTACCCGCCTACATTTTTAAAAAAGCTTTACTTTAACAGAATAGGACTAGCGAAAAATATTGAGTTGGCTGGTTCTATTTTCGTTTAACAGCTCATTAGTAATTCGAAGTTGCTCGAAGCATTGTTGCTAATGCTAATGACGTACTCTAGGGCATTTGGGCCTACACATAACTAAACGTACGGTCGACGATCGCAACCCTAAATCCGTAGCAGATTTTCCGTCCCATTGCTGGTATTTTTCCATACAAACACCAAACACGGCTTATTTTATACAATTTACTCGGCTAGGTAAAAAAAAAGTCAGTGGCAACATGAGCACAAAGTTACAATTTATTAATTTTGGACAATGGCAACTTTAGAGCACAAACGTCAAGAATTTTGTCATGCAATATTTCGCAAGATAAGTTTCGATTTTTCCTTTTCAAATAGGAACCTAACTAATTAGAAGGCGACTGATGAAGTGGGTGTGCGTTTTAATTTAAATTTGTTTCCATTTGTTTTTTTCTTTAACTCTATGATGATCGAAGGCCGTGCCAATGTAAGTCATAACTAAAACATCAATAGCCGTAAGATTGATTTTACAGACACACGAAGAATTTATACTGTACTCTTTTTTTTCAGGACTTACCAGACTTTATTGTCTTTCGGACGGTGATCAAGTACTGTCTCTTTATCATAGTAGTACCCGTTCTATCCTTCTTCTTTGTGAAAAGTCTTGTATTTGATGGGGTATTACGACTTGATAACGTTACAAGCAGCGTCTATTCTGCTATAGTTGCTGTAATTGCCCTGCATGTTACATTAGGCATGTATATTTATAGAGCGTATGGTGAGGCAGAAAAAGCACCTAAGCCAGTTAAAAAAGATTAAAAAATTTATAACTAAACCTACCACTTTAATTATAAGTTAAACTTTAAAAATGGATAATCTGTACATGAAGGGAGAACTTTTACAAATACAAACAAAGAATTCAGAAGTTATCGAAGGTCGTTTTTACAGTATGACAACAGACAAATCTAAAATATCTTTATACAATGTTAAGGAATTACCTCAAGGTGAGGAAGAAAAAGGTGTTTGTCACTATTATGATTCCGAAGTCAGAAACATAACAAAAATCCATGAAGAAAATAAGCAAACATATTTGAAATTAACACAAAAAGAATGCGAAGAAATTATTAAAACTGCAAAGAAATATATTTACATAAACCAAGTGGATAAAAATTTTCATGCTGCAATTGATGATTTAGCCCATTACAGCTATATAGCATTGAGCACTGATGGGGCTAACATGGGCAGGAAGTGTAAAATGCCTTTTATTGTATTATCAACTCCTCGACAAATCTATATATTTGATGTTCAAGTTATGCAGTATCATGCATTTGATGCTGGCTTAAAGAAATTACTGGAATGTGAAAGCCCTAAAAAAATAGTACATGACTGCAGGAAAATATCTGATTGCTTGTATCACAAACATAATGTTAAGCTGAATTCAGTATTTGATACTCAAGTATGTAAAATCATAATTGTTTTCTATTTACTAAAAGCTAAATTTCCCATGTATTGCAATGACAGTCTTAGCTAAATGTCTTGTAAAAGTGTTTGTTACATTTTTCAGGTTGGACATCTCATTGTGTCAAGAAATAAATCTGGCCGCATACCAACAACAGTTAAGACTCTGGCAGAAACTCTGTCAATATATCTTGGCCTTAAAAATAATACTATTGAAGAGGTAATAAAATTTATTTAATTATAAATTGTTTAGATATTTATTAGCCTTTGACTGCTTTCTCATGGAAATACATAAAAGGAATGACACCTGTTATTTATTTCTACCAAATATTATCCAGAGATTGTGTTACCATAAAAATGTGTTATCTGGTTACAAGCATCCCTCAATATACATGTTTATGTCACTAAAATATTTTTAAATTTTCAGCTTGATATAGTCCAGTGCACTGAAAGGCCATTATCCACAAACATCAAAGAAAACCTTGCTAAAAACATAGCATATTTACACCGTCTATCAGAAATGATTAATGATGAAATGATGTTACCTTTTCATAGAGGTGTAGAATGTTACATTGACAATATAAGAAGTTGTGATGATTTCAAAGCTTGGGAGCTATGTGGCAAATCTAATCAAACACCAAAGGATTTTAGAAGCACCATTGAGTATTAAATTTATGCTTTTAGGTTACATTCCACAGAGTAATAAAAAGTAGAAATAGTCATTTTCTTTTTTTTTAAGCACCTTTTTGTTTTAATTTCAGTTCACATTGTTAGTTTTCCTTTTCTTTTGGGTTCTGATTCACATTTTATTTATTTGGGTAATTTATTAGTTATTGAGATTTGTCTTACTTATTTAAATGTCTTATTGGATTTTTTGTTTTTGGAACATTATACTCAATGGCATGTAAAACTAAACAATGTTACATCAAAAATGATTATGCAACTACTTTTACTGTTGGTTGAGTAACATGCAAGGACAACAGAATATGTGCCCCCTAAAAAGTAACTAATCAGAATAAGGATAAACATTTGGTTAGTGGCAAAGATGACATGTTTTTTATATAGCAGAAAATACACACTGATAAAAATTACATTGGAGGCATTTCCATATTAAGGAACTTGATGAGTCTTAGACATATAGTCTACTTATTCTACAATGGACTTTGATGTCTTCGTGAGATTGATGGAAGAAATGGATGTCACTTGATTTACTATCATTATAGTTTATCATAGTTATAAATTTGCTCCATGACTAGATCATAATTTATATTGTTCCCTGATTATTGACTTGATATTTGAAGATTTGATTGAAAGCAGCTACTTTGGAACAATGGACAGTTAAAATAAGTGCTTCTTCGGAGAGCAATTGCTTGTTCTTTAAACATGACCACCAGTTGTATAAATGACATAAAATTCATGAATTATGACAAAAAATGTTATATTAATGATTGAAATGCTTCTAAACTTTATAAGTAGAGGTGTTAAAATTGCTTTCTTATAGCTTTGAGCACTATTAAATACTAAATGCTTTTGAACTTCTATTTTTGTATTGAGAGTTTGATGTGATTAGTGTATTTTGTACGAGTGACAATTTATTTCCAGTATTTTTTATTCTCACACTTATAATAATTCTCTATTTCAAAACAACTTAATTTTAAAATGGTACCTTTAAAATATTTATTTTTGTATGAATGACAAGTTTGGCGATTAAGGGCTTTAATTACGCAAATATGTATTAGATGTTGCTCATATCTATTTGATATTAATAAAGAGTGAGATATTTTGAGAAATGGTTTTACAGTATTGAGTATAAAGTGAAGGATGCTTACGTTGCTAAATTGCTTACAATTAGGATTATAATTAATATTTTGTGAAAATCCGAAGTTGAAATTAAAGATGTGTGCTTAATCTACTCTTATTCACTTTGGTTTGAACCTCTTTATAATTGGTGTTTAGTTCAATTATTAAAACAAAAGAAAACAATATATAATTTATTAAATGTGTACACTTATGTTTTAGTAAGGAACAAATTGGGATAGAAAGCTAGTCCTTCTATAGATTCGTCTCTGCAGGCTAGGCCAAGACGTTCAGTAGTGAACAGTCTTTCTCGAGCCAACAACAGCGACACATTGGCTAATTGAGATAACTTCACAGGTGTGAGAGTACCATTTTCTTCAAGCTAAAACAGATGACAAAGAAAAATAGGCATTGTGAAATCCATTAGCTTTATTGTAGAAAATATACTGATTGTGTACTTTCAGTAATTTGTAACTTACCAATTGACTAGTACTTCTAGCAACTTCTTCGTCTCTCTGAGAGTTCAGTTGCAGAACACACGCGCCACTAGGAAACTTTCTAAGTGACATTGGTGCATCAATTGATTGCAATAATCTGAAAATAGTAAAGTACATGTATATTTGTTTATCTATGAACTATGTTATTTAAGTAACTAAGTATCTTGGAAGAATTGATTAATTTGATTCAGTTATCTTTAATGTCTTAAAGTGTATATCCAGGCTTGTAATATCTTGTATTTGAAAATTTTGGTGAATGTAAATACATCATCATCACCAGCAGTATATGCCCCCTACTAAGGGGTCCAGAATCTACCCTAAGTAGGGGTGAAAATACATACTTGCAAGCATTTAACAAGTCCTCAGGTGATATAAGCTCCAAGCCTCTTGCTCTGTTGACTCTGCACCATACATCAGCAAGTGACATTATACCACCACAGTCCTAAAAAAAAGTAATATTTTATTTTATTTAATCTTCTAAGGTAAGACTGAAAACTTTTCTTTTTACAATAATGATATAAAAAGAGTACAATACAAAGGAGTAGAATATTGCACTAAAATGTAAAATAAAATTTTTAATCTATACTCATCATCATCATCCACTTGCCCTTATCCCCTATGGAGGGTCGGCACAGTATGTGCTGCTCTTCCTTACATCTCTATCAGCCGTCATATCTGAATCCACTCCTTTCTTAAGCATATCCTCTTTCACACAATCCATCCATACTTTCTTCGGTCTTCCTCTTCCTTTGTAGCCACCCACAATCAATCTTAACACTTTCTGGTTTACTTCACTTCACTTTTGTGTTAATGGCGTTTCCATAGAGATTTCGCCAATGTCAAGTACATATAATACTCTAACACAACTAAGACTACCGCGGTGCACTTTCTGGTTTATGTCCCCCATCATTTTGTCGCATAACATGTCTATTTTTAATCTATACTAATATAATAAGAAGAAAAGATATGTATTCAATGCATGTTAAAACTAATAGGCCGATTTCAAATTTTTTTTCACCATTTGAAAGGTGACTATATAGTTAATTTCGTACCATTAATACTGCCACCATCATATCTGAAATCTGCTGTGCTAACCCTACATAGTAATCAGAGTCTGATCGGAATGTATCTCTTGTGACTGGATCATCAATACCTAAGCTCATGAGGTATGATTTGAATCTAACTGTGTCATCTTCAGATATATCTCCTTGTTTCTCCTGTAATAATGACAATTTTATTACAACTTGACAAAAATATTGTCATCTCTTATTAATTTGAAACAAAACAGAGATAACTATGTATATTTTATTATTTATATATAAATTGTATAGTTGTATCAAAGTAACAGTAGTTACCACATACCCTAATTTTAGTTGATATTGTCTTCGATATTGACACCATTTCTTTAGCCTTCTCCATAAGCTTTCTTAAATCTTGGAATGCAACACTAATACTTTCATCAGTAGCTCTATGTTGTTCCTCTATACTTCTTTCAATACCTACAATTCCTGATCTAATCTTCGAGCTTACAGGAGCAACTGAAGGTCTTGTGGATGCCACTGCAGATTCTGAGCTTGGAGATGTCAGTGGAGTTGTTCGTTCCCATGCTTTAGCATTTACAGCATCAGACAATGCTTTATAAAAAAGAGGATCAATTCCATCTTTGAATGAAAACTTGACAAAGTGGTATGGACTTACTACTGCTGGGCCTGGCCTTTTACCTGTTAAATTATATAATTTATAAATTCACTCTCCATACTCTAATGTAACTGTTGTTTTTTTATTATGGACTTGGATATCAATTATTTCTTGGATTGCAACTATACCTGGAAGTGCTGGACCCAAATGTAAAATAATTCTCTTTGGGCCACCAAGACCGAACACACCGCCACTCTCCTCTTCCAAACAAAATACATAATACAATGGAAGAGATAAACATGTAAGTCCTTTGGGTATGTCACCTGCCTTTCCCCATAAAATTCTATGCGTTGTGAGCACAACTTCACCATCGACATATTGTGTCTAAAAATGTTAAAAGATTAATATGGAACATTGCTAAATTTGATAACTTTTATACAAATCTAAACTAACCTTATCATCGCCGTCATATATTTTCACATTTTTCTCTCGTTTTAAATAGTTTTCTCCTTCAAATAATCGAGCTTCAATATATTCAAGCCTGTCCATAGTTCAAAAAACTGAAATAAACGATTTTTGATTAAATTAGTGTGTAATAAATATAAATAAAATAAATATATGTTTGTGTTTTCGTGTTTTCAGATGTCAATGTCATTCTACTTCAACGTCACTGTCAGTGATTGTCATTGTTATTAATTGTTGATAAGATTTCAAAAAATAAAATAATGAGAAATTACTATAGGACTTTAAGGAAGGATATTATAGCTTAATTAATAAGTATTTGAATTAATACTTGTATTTGAATTATTATTTTTCATTGATAACCAAGAACCACCCTTTGCCCAAAAAGAAACATTGCGAATTTGCGAATTGACATTGACAGATTGCGAAGCAGAAAAACGAAATGAAAGGAGCTGTGTAGCGTGAGGTTAACCTACAATTATTTATTAGATACCGTTCTTACTTTTACTTTACTATTAGCCTTGACTGGTCGTGACTGAAAGCACTAGATACACATTTTTACTTGTGTTATAATGGCTGAATCTCAAGAAACTTTGCTTCAACAAATAAAGGAACAGGGTGACATCGTGAGGAAGTTAAAAGCTGCGAAGGAATCAGGAGATAAGGTTTGTTAACACATTTTATTGTTCTTAAAATAGTATCTTTTGTCCGTGAAAAACCCTACGTCTATCACACATGTAAGTTGTCTATGAATTGCATCATGTATTATTTAATAACATAACTATTGGTTTTGTAGCAGAAGAAGGCGGAAAAATGTATTTACAATCTTGAAGAAATAGATAAACATTTATCTCAGTTTAGTTACTTGAGTGGATACACTCCCACTCAATTAGATTTAGAGATTTTAAATAAATTAGGTCAAGATATAAATATTCAAAAATATAAATACATGAAGAGGTGGTTTTACCATATGCGGAGTTTCAATGAGTCCGAAATAAGTCTTTTTCCTGTATCTTGCTCTCCAAATGCATTTAATAATCTGCAAATAGGCAATGATAAGTCCTATGATGAGCAGGTTTGTGTTATTGCTGTTTAGAGGTAGTTTGTGTATTTATTGTAGATTAATTTAATACATAAAGCACATAATTTTACAACTTGCACCATCTTTATCCCAGAAAGCTTTTTTTTTCATACTTGAATCTCCCCATATGGTTCTTAGTTACCACAGTTACATTTGTAAAGATATATTTTGAGTTCAAGTCAGTATCACCTAATATTTGAAATATTTCTTTTTCCGGTTATAAAATGTCTACCATCAGTGGTGACAAGGAACCATAGTGGATTATTTTGAAGCAAAATATAAAAGAAAAATGTTTATGAAAGCTATGAGATTGCAATTGTGCCATTTGCTAAGCACCAATGGTTACAAAAAATGTTTTGCAACTTCTTCTCAAAGCAAGGTATTAGAAAGCTGGCTTGTAGAAAAACTAGATAATTAAACTTTGTGATCTTCATGTTTATAAGCAAGTCATTTTTTTATAGATTCAAGTCGAAGTTAGCAAGTTATTGGCTTTAAAAGCGCAGCTTGGAACTGAAGATGCATCATCACAAAAGTTTGTCCTCAAAACTCCAAAAGGAACGAGAGATTACAATCCACAACAAATGACAATCAGAAACAATGTGTTACAAAAGATTATTACAGTTTTCAAGAAGCATGGAGCTGAAAGTATTGATACTCCAGTTTTTGAGTTGAAGGTATATATTTTTTTAAATACTATTAGACTTATTTTCTCTTAATTCTTAAGCTATTGGTTTATTACTTTCAACTTTTGTACTTTTAAATCTAGTCTGAATATCATACATATTTCAATTAAATATGAAAGGTTGCAAAGATTAAAATTAACAAATCCATTGATATCAATTTGTATTTTTATAAATATGCTAGTTAAATATAACCTAATAAGCTTATTTTCATTACAGGAAGTACTTACAGGAAAATATGGTGAAGATTCAAAATTAATCTATGATTTAAAAGATCAGGGAGGTGAAATCCTTGCCTTGAGATATGATCTCACAGTACCATTAGCCAGATATCTGGCGATGAGCAAGATCAACACTCTGAAGAGATATCACATAGCTAAAGTATATAGAAGAGATAATCCAGCTATGACAAGAGGAAGGTATAGAGAGTTTTATCAATGTGTAAGTATATCATATTTCATTACACATTCAATTTTTAGTTAGGAATACAAATGAAAAATTTAGTGAGGTGTGAGACCCCTCTGGCATGTGTTATCTTGTTTTTTTTTGGTATTGTAAATTTTAAATTGAGTAAGTGGCTCTTATATAGTGATTCTTATGATAGTGACTTACTATATGCTGACTGATATCTGTCTCTCCCCTGTCCAATCTTTGAAAGTGAAAATGAAGTGATTCATCAGAGAAGCAAGAACACTAGAATTGGACATCAACAGACAAACTACTTTGACTAGCTTTCTCCTGCGACTTTGTCTGTATGATATTAAAAAAGACAAATTAATGCCTATGTGTTCTTCCAGACTGTCCTCTGAATTCAAGCCAAATTTCATTGACATTCCATTTGGCAGTTTAGGCTACAAACTCTAAAGAACACCCACCTATCTAAACATCGCATTTATAATATTAGTAAGATTTATAAAATTAGGAAGAGATTGTAGACTACATATATCAATGTATAATTTCCAGGATTTTGATATTGCCGGTCAATATGATCTGATGGTCCCAGATGTAGAATGTCTCAAAGTGGTGACTGAGATTTTAGATGCCCTTGACATTGGAAAGTATGTACTGAAGGTCAATCATAGAAGACTACTTGATGGAATGTTTGAAGCTTGTGGGGTTCCTGTTGACAAATTTCGTTCAACATGCTCAACTGTGGATAAATTAGATAAGGTAGTTTTTTAACTTTTTTTAACTTTTAGTTTAGCAAAGTCTAGAGGGGCTAGTATTAATGTGCTCGTATTTGTAGTATTTTACCATTTTGGAATCTCTAGAGTGGGGATGCATTAATCCTTTCTCCCCTGATGATGCTTATGCAACTTTGCAGTGACTGTATTGATATTGAGAAAAATAAAGTTATTTGATTGATAACTTTTTGAAATAAATTACTTGTGAAATTCTCAGTGAAATCTTGATTGTTTTTATATAATAAGTGACTTGTACCAGTGATTTTTAATTCCAATGGTCTTAATTAATTTTTAGTCGCCTTGGGAGGAAGTTAGGACAGAAATGATAAATGAGAAAGGTATTACACCAGACGCTGCTGATAGGATAGGAGAATATGTGCGCTTGAATGGTGGCGCAGAGTTAGCCGAGAAATTATTAAAAGATGAAAAATTGTCTAAATCCAAAGCGGCAGTGGAAGGGTTGGAAGGAATTAAGTTATTACTGAAGTATAGTGAATTAATGGGTATTAACGACAAGATTTCGTTCGACTTAAGTTTAGCAAGAGGATTGGACTATTACACTGGAGTTATTTATGAAGCTGTTTTGATACGTAAGTGATGTATTTTTATATTTTTCTTACGACAGTATTTAATTTTTATTTATATAACCCCAGCTTGTGATCTATCAGAGCGCGCGCACACCTGTGACTAATCTATCGCCCAACTGTTTAGTCTTGAATTGATTTCTGTGAGCTTATATAGAGTTGTGCTCACTACTCAATTTTTAGTTGTGTAACTAAACAGTTGAATTGGCTGCGAAACTATCGACAGTCGCAGAACTGTTGTGCGATAGTTTAGTCAAACGTGTGTCTCCGCTCTTAATGTGATTAAAGGAATGCAGAATCCAAAAAGTATTTCATCTGAATAGGGAATAATAATTTATTTTTTGTTTAAATCACAGTTCTGATTTTAACTTTTTTTAAATTATCGACTGAACCAAATGATTACTCTTTTCCTTTAACTGGTCGACGGACGGCGAATAGTGAAATCGAGTAATCTTATTTTAATGTCGTTGCCGCGTTGTGTTGTAATTGTTACTTTTTATATCAACTGTGATGAATTATGACGATGCACTTTCACTTTTGTTGGTTGTACCAAGTTATATTTATTTAATAAAATGATATATTAGTACATCATATTTCATTTATAACTTAAAATATGCTTTTTTTGAATATCTTTAATGTAATTTACATAAAATTCTACTTTTTATTTCAATTTAAATAAAAATATTGGCATGTTTTCGTTCAGACAATCGCTCTACGGCATCCATTCCAATTTTCTTACATCATCTTTTCTTTATATCAAATCTATGATCACGAAAATCAAGTTTGCTGTAAACTAGTTTCGTATAACGGGATATCAATTAAAACTTCAATGCCGAGTAAACTAGACGACAAGCCCTCTTACTGTACTGTATAAGAAAACCGGTTACGTTTCGCAATTTTGCCAATGGTCATGGACAAAACTGTCTCGTAACTGGTACAAACAATCGTGTAATATCACAAATTATGTCACACTAACTATTCTTAACTGACTATATAATAATCATACTAGCTATCGCCCGCGACTTTGTTCACATAGGATATAAAAACTATTGAGTAACCTATGGCCAATTTAACGTTTGAACAACGGAAAGGTATTTCAGAGCGCACATGTCCTTGAGCTGCCAAGATATTTCAAAAGACGTATAACAATATGATTGTCTACACTTGATTTGGCAGGAATTCTCTGCAAGGAAATTATGTTTTCTCGGATTCGACTAGTTTCTTTTTTCATGTAGCTTATCTAATAGTCAATCGGTAATTTGTTTTTTTTTTTAAACATGAAATGTTAGCGATTTACAACTCAATTATTTATAATTAAAATCATTATATGATAATAGCTGTATTTGTTTTTGTTTAAATTACAGAACCAATCAAAGTTGGAAATGAGGAGCTTGCAGTTGGATCGATAGCGGGGGGCGGCAGATATGATAACCTTGTTGGCATGTTCGATTCCAAAAACAAGCAGGTAACTGTTATTAAAAACGATAAAATATCTATTGAAATGCAGGGTATGAGACTCAGTTGAATTCTGTAAAGAATCTAAAGAAAAAAAATGTTTCGTAAGCGCTGCTTGTAATGTTGTAGACATATGTTTTTAATGTTATTTGTAGTTTACCCGTGACTTTAACATTTAACGCTATTACATATTTAAATGTCGTTTCAGTATCCAACTGGTTTTTTTAGCTATTTTTTCGTCGTCCCTTTTTCGCATTTGTAATGTATTATGAAATCAATGTTATGCATCTGTTTGTAATTCGAAAATCTTATTTATTGTAATTAATTTGCTATTGTTTTATTAAACAATTTTTATATATTCCAGGTGCCGTGTGTAGGAGTGAGTATTGGCGTGGAGCGCATATTCTCTATATTGGAGGCAAAATTAGCCTCAGGTGATATTAATGTGCGTACAAATGATGTACAAGTTTACGTGGCTTCAGCTCAGAAGAACTTTCTAGAAGAACGTATGAAGATCTGTGCTGAACTATGGAATGCGGGGATCAAGGTTAGTATTTAACTCAATGAACTCAAGGCAAAAATCCTTTTCTTATGATTTTGTTGTTTTTCTTAAGATATTTAAATGTTTGTGTTTATATTCTAAGTATTTCTGAACTACTGAACAGACTGATGAAGTTTTGGCTGAATATTCTTAGGACACAAGTATTTAGTATTATTTAGTTTAGCTTTCCCGTGACTGTGTGCGCGCGGAATAAAAAAAAACAATTAATCAGTAGCTTGTGTTCTTCCAGATTATTTTCTTGAGATGCATTATAGATAGTAGATCCGTTGTAGATACCTTTAACAAATATCAAAATTTAATATTAAAATGCATGAAACACCCCTACAACGCCAATTCCGTACCCCCATATAACGCGGTAATTACCTATGTAACCTGAATGTTCCCAACAATTTATTATTAGATCCTCTATAACGCGATTTATAGTTCTGCGTTGCTAAATAACGTGTTATACGGGGAATTCTTAAAAACGCGAACGCGGAACCATCAACCGCGCTTTATGTAATGTTTACTGTATGTTTATTCATGTTTCATCATATCTTTTTCAGACTGAACAGTCATACAAGAAGAATCCCAAAATGTTAAATCAATTACAACATTGTGAAGAGAATGGCATACCGTTAGCGGTGGTCCTTGGGGAGTCGGAGCTGAAACGTGGCGTTGTCAAGATTAGAAACATTACCTCCAGAGAGGAACAAGAAGTCCAGCGAAATGATCTCGTACAAGAACTCAAACAACGGATAGACGCGTTAAATGTTAAAGAAATTAATGGTTCAGTATGAATGAACGGAGGTAAATTTAATTAAATAACCTTAATTAAAAAAACTCGATTCATTTTATAGGATATACTTGAAAACAACTATAAATTTAGAAATAATATACAATATTGTGAGTGACATATCTGGTTTATTTCCATTGTATAATTCATAAGCCGTCTTGTTATTTAAAGCTAGATGTTGATTATGATTCTGTAAATAAACTGCGGTATTAGTGGCTTTGGCCCAAAACTCCTTGCTAAGGTTTACATCTGCATATCATTCATTGCATTCTGTTCATATAATTGAGATATTTACTGTTAACATGGCCTAATCACTTATGCCAAATATCTGAAACAGTTAAATTAGCCATTGTTTTTTTACACTAATTAACTTGTATACACCTTTATACAACTCTGCTACTAATTTGTTATCTCGATTATAAACTTCACAGCCTTTATAACTAATTATTTTACGGCTTTTACTCACGTCTAAACGTGAAACGTAAACCAAGTTATTAAGTTCTGGCTTTGATAGCACATCCACTTGTCTTTACAGTCTGTTTTATCAGTTGCCTAGTCATCGTCTGAGTAGGCTATAAGTTTTGTGAACTCTTCAGTCTTCCTAAAAATCAGTCCCTGACGAGAAGTTAAATGAAAATGAAAAAAAAAAATATTTTTAGAAAACATTCAATTTCAATTTATATTTTTTTACACAATGTACACAATCTAAAATTAACACAAACAGTAAAGTGTGTAAATAAGTATGAAAGCGAAGCTGTAGGCTAGTTTGCTTATTAGCAAATTGTTCAGTTACCTTTCATACTAGTATAAAACTATTACGGCAGGGCAGTAGAGCCAGTTACTGTGATTATCTGTTAGAACTTGTTACAGTACAGGCCGGCAGTTCCTTTAACATAACTTAACACTCTCTTACTTGCTAACCACAACTCTTGTGTATCTAGAAATCTTAAGAATGATACAGCATAAGTAATATCTGGACTTTACATAGAAATGTATAACAAAGATCCTATTAATTCCTTAAAAGGTACTTTAATCACTGGAGGTAATGGAATGTTTACATTAAAACTAATTTCAAATGGTGCTTGATTTTGCAATCTTGCATGTGATATTTCTCCAAAAGTCATCGACTCAATTTCTGAAGTTTTTGTTGTGTTGATATTTTTTTTGCACCGTGAGCACTTACGCCTTGTCGCCAACGCTAACATTGACATGTTGTTTTTCTTAATTGACATTGGTATTGATTTCTACTTGTAAATACTTGCAGAGTTAAAATAATTTTTGAACATCAGATTATGATGAGTTTTTGTCAATCAAAATCTGAAGTCTGTTTAATTGATAAACTAACACCATTTTTTGTAAATTTCTTCTTTATTTTTCCTTAACTCATTTTACAATATAACAAAATTCTACAGAAACATTTTTTCATCTTGACATTTTGTTTTCATTACGCATCACTTTTTCATCATTTTTTATTCCATTACAATGTCTATTCAGCCAGTAGTACATATATTGTAACATTTGTAATAACAAATTACAATTTTACAATTGCTGATTACACAACATACCAACTTATTCTTCTTTTAAACTTTCCTTCATGCATGAGGGTATTGTGATTGAATAAGTGCATTGAACAGATCTATAAAGGGTTTCAATTTAGTAAAGTATTTGCTGTCAAATGTTGTAATTTCAATGTTAGGAAGTTTAGACATAGACACATCCTTGCCAACAATTTTTACATTTTCATTATTATTCATACGATCGTTTAATTTAGCAAATAGCTTTAAATGTTTTGACTCGACAGTATTGAAATTTTCTGCAACCCTTGGATCCAATACCTAAATCTCGACAGTTATGTCTTCGTATTCCTTAAATGTACTTACCAGCATGCTTCTTCGCGCCTCCAAATCTAACACGCTGGCGGCAGCGATACTCACTGGATCATCGAGGAAGTTTTCTAAACGCGTAATTGCTCCCTTAAGATGGCCACTCTTTGCCCGCAAACGTGGCAGGTTGACCGTCATTTTTTCAACACAATGTAGTGCTAATTTTTCTTTTTGGATGTAGTTTCCCGACGATCACGACGATCTTCCCTGCTCGGTACCTTCATCCGAGCTGCGCAGACGTATACACTGATGCGGACCGGCGAAATTTTTTCACGGTCACGTGGGCACGCCGACTCTTCAATGTTATATTTTGAGGATATAGACCTCTCTTCAATTTTCTTCCGATATAGAACCGATTTATTTTGTGAGGATATAGCCTCAGTTGTTCGCAAAGCGAACAGCACGTGCTAATTTTGCTCGTAAGGCATCGCCGTACGAGTAATATTCTTGAAAATTGATGCAACTAAATGATGATAAAAAAATGTATTCTTAATAATTGAATGTTGCCCTTTTTAACACGCCCCCTCAATAATCAATTTTTATATTATATAAAATTGTAGGTATCCACTGTTTTCCATTGTAAGCATTTATGTAAGTGTATTTCTCCTTGACCAAGTGCTTTTATGATTGAACCATCACCAATTATGACAGCTTTTGAGGCTGATAAAGATTTATAGTTTACAAACATTTTTGTTGTTGCACATATGTTCTGAGGCACCAATGTCCAGCACCCACAATGTTTCTTGAAAATTGTTTTGTACAGGAAAGGTTTATTGTTGATGTAATGAAAGCATTTGTACTACCTTTTCCGTTGTCACCTTTTTGACTTTTTACATATTTTACACTGTTTATAACCTTTCCCGCTGTTAAAATTGTTCATGTTTTTCTTAGTCTTTTTTTATAATGTCCAACTTGTTGACACTTAAAACATTTTCTTTCACTGTTTCTGATTGTGTAGATAAAGCAATTTTCTCCTCATAATCATTGTTGCGTTGGTCTAGCATCAATCTGAATATTAATTCAGATAACACTCCCCGAAGCAAACGGATTACAACATTTCCTGTTGCACCAAGATCTGGTTACATATCGTTACATTTTCATAATTTACTGGAGGTGGGAAATGACTTTTAAGGTCTTCATGGTCGGTCAATTTACACGGTCTTCTATGGTCTTCTCTTTACATCATCAGCAGCTCATTATAAGTCCCCACCGAGGGGCTCGGAGCCTACCCTAATATGGGGTGACTAGGCCATAGTCAACCACGCTGGCCAAGTGCGGGTTGGTTTTTTTTTTATTCTATTCTACCTCTGACAGTGGTCAGAGCTTATTTTAACTTTACTTCATTCATTCCAGTTCTCGCTAGTATTCCTCTCGCACTTTTATCCTGCATACTTTATCTTTCTTTCTTTCATCATCTTTCATTCTTTTCGGGTGGGACTGCCCGATCTACATGACACTAACTAATTAATTCTTTATTTTAGTGCGGGTTGGTTGACTTCACACATATCTTTGAATTTCTTCGCCGATATGTGCAGGTTGCATCACGATGTTTTCCTTCACCGTAAGAACGTCGGGTAAATTATGTACATATGAAAATTCGAAAAATCGAAAATCACATTGGTACATGGCGGGATTCGAACCCAAGACCTATAGATTACAAGTCAAGTGTTCAAACCACTGAGCCACCGACACTCTTTTTCTCTTTACATGGTCATTTTAAAATAACGACGGTTGTTAAGTTTATTTGTGTAAAGATACAAATATCACATAAATGCATACATAAATACTTGTTATAAATGTACATATTTATTTAATGATAATTCTCCGATAAAATTCCGTGATCAACATCACTCGGAAAAGCTTTCCTAAATTTAATTTCCCACTCCTTACACAATAGTCGAGCGAGGGTAAAGACTATTGCCAAGTGGTCGCTAATCCGCAGTTTTGCAAAGCATAATGACTCGTTTGTTTCGAATTCCAGTCGAGACATTATTAAGATAAAATTCTTGAACAACATTATTATTATTAATAATGTCTTTAATGTTATTATTCAAACTTTCCTAAGCTGTTTTACAAGAAATATTAAAGTTTCTAAGCTTATAAATTTTTAATATTTCAAGTACTAAACCTTCATAGTATTTTCAATGCCGATGTGTAAATACATAATAAATAAATAAACAATATAACTTTATTATTTTCTCCTTTGGGCAGGGGACTAGTGTCCAAACTAGGATGGTACCCTGTGTGATGGATTACCAGGCTTCCAAAATACAAATTAGTTTTAAGTGATTTGTCCTATTCATTAAAAAAAAAAAATAAAAAATAAATAAAACACTATTTATTGACCAAAAAGAAAATTAAAGGAACATAACTTACAATTATTAATGAAATAAAAATAAAAATACAAATTCTTGGTCAAAAGGAAAAGGCTCAGCTGATGCGGCCTCCAGCTTGTCACTGAAGGCCGCGCTGGTTTTCAGCCTCCCCTGAACTACTATGACATGGTTCAGTTTATGATACAGGGGGCAGTTGAGTTATAATATAAGCCATCATTGCACTTGTGTGTGTGTGCGTGTGTGTGTGTGTGTGTGTATGTGTGTGTGTGTGTGTGTGTTGCTGTGTTGCTGTGTGTATGTGAATGTATTTGTGCATTGTTGCGTAGGCTTGTGTGCGTTTGTGTGTGCGATGAGGGAAAATAAATATATAGGGATACATATAATATACATACATACATAGTATTTAGTATCGAAAATACAAATATAAGATACTAGTTGTTGCTCGCGACCACGTCCGCGTGAAACGAACAAAATAATGCTCCTGTTATTCACCATTAAACATTTAATTTTTATTTTGACGGATAAATGTAAAGCATTTGTACGATGAATTATAGAAATAGGTTAATTGAGGCACTTTATTGCATTTTTTTACTAAGTTTTTTTGTATATCAAGCAATATTCAGAGATTGTAATTCTAATGTCGAAGTTCATATAAAAGCGTATTTGCCATCTTTGTCATTTTCTTTGTAAAAGACAGATATAACAATATGTGTTTGTATGAGTTTTTTGATAATGGCAACCTCGCTTATAAGTTTCCTTTAGCAGGAAATTCCTATACAATTAAATAGTATTTATTTGATCTAGTATCACATAGTAATTTATTTTAGAAATAGTTATCTAAAAATCTTGAAGTATGGTTAATTATTAGTATTATACTTCTTTGAATTTGATGTAAAAAGTTTTCTGCTTCTTTTGTCAAAATTATACTTTTTTCAAATCTTGTTTGTATATGTGCAATTAAGTAAATAAACATTTAAAAGTGTATTTTTGTTTTATTCATTTCACCAATGTATTATTTTTAAAGTAATAGTAATATAAGCCCTAGGTAACCGACACTACCTAAAGTTAAACACTGATTTTTTGCAAAATTATCATTAGTTTTGAGGTTATGAACTTGGGTGTAAAAAAATATTTGTAAGCTGATAGATACATATTTCAGTACTATGGAAATCACGAACTACATATGTGTCGACGTTTACAACTTTTTAATTATCTACACTTTGTAACCCATAATGGTATATGGCTTTTCTTAGTATTCAGTGAATTAAGCTGTCAATGTCCTTTACTAAAACATTGACCTCGATTCGTCTGCACCAAAGGCTACTTTATTTAATGACGTCACGTCAAGGACAACCATGGTGTGGATTATTCATTGTTACAATGCACCCAGAGTAGTAGAAGTTCCTGTTATTGTATACTAAATAACCATGAAGTTAAATCAAAAACTATAAAACGGCTTATGTAATAAAAGTCTGACTCATTAGCCTTTTAAACACTGTTGCAATCACTTCAACTTATCATAATGATTGTTAGATTTCAAGTGTATCTCTGTGTTTGCGTGATAATAAGTTCTGGTAAATCATCAGTGCTCAAAGAAGTTCTAGAAGATCATTTAAAAGATATCTCACATGATGAAGGTGTGGAATCAATCAAACATGATAAAGAAAAAGGTGAGAAGAACCATCAAATCGAAAGCCAAATTAAAGATAGCCAAATAAGCCAATACGCTAAAGCCGCTGATGATTCTAAGTATTTGAAAAAGGAACATGATAGTAAAAAGTCAGCGGACAATGATGCGTATGCAGGGTATAATAGTAAACAAGATAAAGTTGAAGATAACGAAACCACAGGATTTAAAAGAGGTCATAAAAAGGGTCATCATAAACAAGGTTTTCAAAATTCATATCACAAAGACGAATCATCCAATAAAAGCACTTATTTCGATGATTTTAACGACGAAAATGATCAGTCGTCTTATAACACAAGATTTAATACCAACGATAATGAAGGACGCAGGAGTTACAAAGGAGGCCACAACAACGGGCAAGAATATACTTTAGATAATTACAATAGCAGAGGTCAAAATAATTACAAAAATAATGGCAACAAACAAATAGAACATCAAGATTATGCTAAAAAGCATTATTTAGATGATTATGAAAATTATAATAAGCACAGGAATAATCATGGATCTCATAGAAGAGATAATATTCGCAATCGTCACGAATATGTACCACATAGTGATAAAAATCAACATTGGGTTTGGCAAAGATGGGACCGACCGAATTGGGATAGAAATCAAGGTTGGAACGCGGATTACAGAGACCCTTACGATGATCGTGGTTTCAATACGGGGTACGG